AAAAAAAAAAACAAGTAAGAAGGTCTAAGTTCGGGTGGAGCCGAACATTAAATACGAATTATTGCAGTTTCAAGCATTTCTGAAATTTACCGTTATATGAAAAGCGGCCGTAATTTTAGTCCGATTTCAATCATTTTCAAGGTTTTGCTTTTATGTGGCAAGCACAATAACTATACCGAGTTTGGTATAAATTGGTAGAACGGTTACCGAGATATATATATGTGATCATAAGTGGGCGGTGCCACGCCCATTTTCCAAAATTTTACTATAAACGTATTTCTTGGTAAAGAATTGTTGCAAGCATCAATTTTCAATAAATTAGCTTTAATATTTACTGATTTATCGAAGATTTTGTATTTCTCTAAATTACCGTTATATGGGATGTGGGCGTGGTTATTGTCCGATTTTAAAAATTTTCGGCCATTTAGTATGCTGTACCGAGGCAAACAAATGTGCCAAGGTTGGAAGAAATTGTTGCAGCGGTTACCAAGATATACACATGTAACCATAAGTCAGCGTGGTTACGCCCATTTTCCAAAAATTTATAATATTCTTATTTTTCGTCTCAAAATTGTTGTAAGTATCAATTTTGAGTGAATAATCTTCAGTAGTTACTAAAATATCGCAGTTTTCGTATTTCCGAAAATTGCCGTTATATGGGATGTGGGCGTGGTTACAGTCCGATTCCGCCCATTTTCAATACCAATACCTACCTTTGATNACCCGACTGTCGTGGGAGCGCCTATTCTCTACTCCTTTCTTTTCTCCTGCGCAGTCGGGTGGTGTGTTTTCGTTGCGATACATCCGCTGATATATCCGTGGGCATTTGAAAAAACTACTCAAGGCTACCTTTCACGGACAAAAAAATAGCATATGCCGACAGAGCTTTTTTACCATCACAGCAACAACTTTTATTTAAAACAAAACAAGTCGTTTTTAAGCAAGAAGTAATTTTTAAGCAAACAACAAAACCGACTTCCATTCTCATATAAAAATTTAAGATTATCGTTAATTTCTTCATGATCCAATACTCGGATTTAAACCAAATTATTATGGGACCACCTGTGAGGTAACATCTTCCCTTTAAAAGATTATAGAAATCGGTTAACGTGGTCCAAAGTTATGCGATAACATACAAAAAAAAATAAAATATTTTGACGAAGTGATAAGCTTCTCATATTTGTGAAGTCGGGTAAAAAAAGCGAAGAGATCGTGAATACCGAAAAAAATAATTATATATCGCTAGCTATGAGCGAAAAGTTACTAGGTTCATTTACAAAACTTTACAAAACTTTGAATACAACATTTTGCGAATTTAAAGCAAAGCCGAACTCCATACGAATGAGCAGGATTCGATCTTTATTTTTTGGCATTGTCGGATTTTCGGTGCATCTTTTGGACTAAGCAAATTTGCCTTTCATTCAATATAAAGGAGCAAAATTAAAACAAATACCTTAATCCTTTTCGAAACCATGCATATCTCTTGCTTCCCCGATCAAAATACGAGTTTTCATAAAAAGTGGACTTAGGAACTTTTCACACTAAGCTTCTTCTTCTTCTTTTTTGGCGCTGTAACCGCCTAAGCGATTTTGGCCGAGTTCAGCAAAGCACGCCAGTCGTTTCTCCTCTGTGCCAACTGACGCCAATTGGAAACGCCAAGTGAAGCCAAGTCCTTCTCCACCTGATCTTTCCATCGCAGTGGGGGCCTCCCTCTTCCTCTGCTACCCCCAGCGGGTTCCGAGTTGAATACTTTCGAACGACATGACCAAGCCAGCGGAGCCGCTGTATTTTAATTTGCTGCACCATGTCCTTATCGTTGTAAAGCTCATCGTTCCATCGTCTGCGGTACTTGCCGTTGCCAACGCGTAAAGGCCCGTAAATCTTCCGCAAAATCTTTCTCTCAAACACTCCAAGAGCCGCCTCATCGTCCATGCTTCTGCGCCATATACCAGCTCGGGCATGATGAGTGACTTATAGAGAGTGGTTTTCGTACGTCGAGAGAGGACTTTACCTGAATTGCCTACTCAGTCCAAAGTAGCACTTGTTGGCAAGAGTGATTCTACGTTGGATTTCAATGCTGACATTATTATCGATGTTAATGCTAGTTCCCAAGTAAACGAAACACTAAGCTAGCAGTATGTATTTCTTTTAAATTACAACCTTGTTTTCTTTGACGGTAAAATATGTTTTGTCCGCAAAAGATCGACTCAGGTTGTTCTTTCAAATGCCCACAGATATAATCTCTGCACACAGACTAATAGCTTGGGCCTTCTTGGGAGTTTACGCATGCGAAATGAGATGTTGTTGTTGTTGTTGTTGTAGCGGCTACAACAACCCCGCCCAGATCGGTTGATATCTCAGTCGTTGTCGTCAAGTTCCACTAACGGCAGCCCTAGGAAGCGTGCAGCCTCCACTGGGTCGGTCCACAGGGACAAAGTCATTAGGGTTGTCTGGTTTTCTGGGCATGCGAAGAGATGTTTCGAGTCATGAGGGGTCTCACCGCATGCCGGACAATCATTTGGCACATCCGCGTTCAGTCCGCTCAGGAATGAGTTTAAGCTGCTACAGTAGCCAGAGCGAAGTTGGGCTATTGTGGTTCTTGTCTCCCGAGGTAGATGAAGCTCCATCTCGTCTATGTCCGGTGGTTGTGTGTCTAGAACGGTATTCACAGGTCCAGAGTCTACATAACTCGTTCGTAAAGATGCCTCCTGACGTGCCTAGTCGAGGGCTCCTCTGCAAGAAGCTGTCTGTTTAGGTGGCCACATCTGTGGCTCCCAATCAGAAACTGCTTGCAGAGCATTATGGTATGCGAAATGAGATCTTTGAGCTTAGTATAAAGATGTCGGCTCCGATGCCATCTGGTGTTTTTAAGCCTTCTGTGTACCAAATTAAGAGATGCAACTAGTATTTTTAGGTGTTTACATGGCTCCAGCTTTCCTAATTAATAAACTTAAAATAGATCTTTGAAGGTCATTTGGCTGCCAGCTTCTATGCTTATGTATGTAAGTATGTATGAGCAGTGGCGCTAGCTCGATTATTGCCGTGGAACAGATGCACTTTACGCCTCCGATATACCAACTAGAGATGGGCACGGGCCCGGCGGGCCCCTGCGGAAGCCCGCGGGTACGGGCCGGAATATTTGCTGTCAGCACGAACTCGTTCGTGCATGGGCTGGGCGTTCAGTAAAATTTCATAAAAGCACGAATAAGCACGAAAAAGCCCGTTGCTAATACTGAAAATTTAGATAAGCTTTTCTTTTTATTTAAAAAAAAATAGTACATATTTAAAAGCAAAAAAAGAAATATTTGGAAACCGATAGAAAAAATTAGATACTTAGTAGTTTTGTTTACATATCTGTACATAAAATACCTTCCACCTTAGCTTACAATACCTTTTGTACTTCCCAGAAAATATATTATAAAAATCTTTGATGTAAAAAATTGATTCGCTTAAGTAAATATACGTACATAAACACAAAATTATAAATAAGTACATATGTATACATACAATAAAAGTTGGCTCTTTATTTCCGGGCTGGGACTTGTCCCGTCGTGCCGTGCCGGGCCGGACCGGGCCCCACGTGCGGGACCGGGCTCGTGCGTGTTTTTGAAAGTTGATTTTGCACTCGTGCCGGGCCGGGCCTGAAAATTTAGGCCCGTGCCCATCTCTAATACCAACAAGCAAGACGTTGTACCCTGACGATAATTTAGTTAGGTCTTCTTAAGTGAAGCTTTTCTGAAAGGCCTACCCAAGAAGGGCTGAAAAAAAGTTTGCCTGCATGGCTTCTAGAAGGTCTTTCAATTTACAATTCACGTAAATGCGTAAACTTATATTATTTAGCATTACAAATAATTTTAAGTATGCATTTTATATTGCAAAAAAACATATTGGATATGAATCCTAAATAAATACCTTAAAGAACTATGATTGTTTAGAATTAAAGAAGCAGCTCCTCCAACAGTCCATCCGAAATACGTCCTACAAAAGCCCTTCTGGAAGGCCTTCTGCGGTAGTGAAAGCAGAAAGCCTTCAGTTCGTGCCACTCCATACAAAAAAGAAACGAGAAAGGAATGTGGAGTGGAAGGCTCCTGAAATTATCTACCGGGTAATTTTGAGACTGAGTGTCGTATATTGAATATGTTGCTTTCGATCCCCAGGCCACCTTGGCCTTAATAATCATCATATATGTATGTACATCCATTTGAGTATCTGAGGGCCACAGCCTCAAGATTTTCTGGTTCTGAAAAGTAGTCCATCCAGCTACGGTGCCTACAAATATACCGCCTAGCGTAAGGTGCTTCAGAGAGCCTTTCGAGCAAGGCACAGAGGCTCCACAATCAGAAGCGCTCTAGATTTCTGCCCCGTAAGCATATAGGATACTGTGTAGTGGACTAACTCTCAAATTGTATGACCTCTGATTCTATTGACAAAAGTTTTTTCCACCACTTTTAGCACGGATTTATTTGGTGTAACAAAATAAACTCCTCTTGTTCTCTTGTTATAAAGCCAGATAAATTCCGTCCACTCCAGGAGCCTAGTACAGATCAAATGAGCCTGACTCTGCCTATCCTTTATATCTATAATTGCTATAACAAAATCGTCTTCATCTTA